CAGGTCTGTCAAGTACTATCCTTAAGTTTTATGCTAAATGTCAGATGTTAATTACACCACAGATGTTGACAAATGGAGTTTGTGGGAAAACCCCACTGCTATCGCCTCACCAGAGATCTCTCTTGCTAAGTATTCTAGAGCATGAACCTGACAATTGGCAGACAAAACACCTTTGACCATCCTGGGAACAGCCACTACACCAATTTTACACTCCACGAATAAGCCAGCATATGCACACACCAGATTATTTTTAGTAGCTAATTTGTATGAGACAAGTCCCTGCTTCGGAAAGCATATGTCAAAAAACCCATGTAGACTTTAGGCAGGCAGAGGGCCATTCAGTGTCGTGATGGGGTTGGAGTCTGACTCCTACCTGTTGAGAGCCTGATGGTGTGGATCTGAATATGCTCTACCTCTGTCCTTCCATGTATACTGCTCATTTTATACTTTCATATTTCATCCTGATTCTTTTACTCTGGTCCTTTGTGTTGCCCAGTTGTTCCAGAAGGATGTTGTGACTCCTATTAGCAACGATTCTGACGGGGCGGTGAGCCCTTGCACCTCGCTGGTTCAGCTGCCCGAGTCAGAAGGGTGGTTGTGCTTGTCAACGGAGAGAGGTGAGATCCTCCAGACAGCGGCTCAGAGTAGTGGGATGACTGGAGGAAGCCTAAATTGGGCTGTCCTTCTGACTCATCCTCCAGAGGAGCCTCCTTCTCTCCATGTAAGACAGAAAGAGCCTTAGCAGGTGGAAGCTAGGTGATCCCTTCCCTTTGGCGTCTGTCAGCAACTTTCATTAAGGCATAAAACGCCCCGCTGTTACAAGACCAGTCACGCAAAGAAGACCAAAGCAACACTTAGGAGATCAAAAAACATGGGGGAGACAAGCAGAACAGGAGATGATCCTGCAAAATTCTGAATTTCTGAATTCATTGCGTGTCTATTCTGGGTGGCGGCGGCGTGGGCTGTGCTGCTGCCTGCATGGGGCCCCATGGGCCGGGTCTGGTCTTGGTCTGGGTGGGAAGGGACCCCTAAGGTCTGTCTGGTGCGGCCCCTGCCGTGAGCAGGGACATCTGCCCCTCGGTCAGGCCGTGTCCCCTTGCCACCCGTGGGGGGCTGAGGTCTGCGCCGCCGGCCCCC